AATCTGTTATACATTAATAACTCCTTAGTAATCTGTTATGCATTGATAACTCCTTAGTAATCTGTTATACATTAATAACTCCTTAGTAATCTGTTATAACATTGATAACTCCTTAGTAATCTGTTATACATTAATAACTCCTTAGTAATCTGTTATACATTAATAACTCCTTAGTAATCTATTATACATTAATAACTCCTTAGTAATCTATTATACATTAATAACTCCTTAGTAATCTGTTATACATTAATAACTCCTTAGTAATCTGTTATACATTAATAACTCCTTAGTAATCTATTATACATTAATAACTCCTTAGTAATCTATTATACATTAATAACTCCTTATTAATCTGTTATACATTAATAACTCCTTAGTAATCTGTTATGCATTGATAACTCCTTAGTAATCTATTATACATTAATAACTGTTAGTAATCTGTTATGCATTGATAACTCCTTAGTAATCTATTATACATTAATAACTCCTTAGTAATCTGTTATGCATTGATAACACCTTAGTAATCTATTATACATTAATAACTCCTTAGTAATCTGTTATACATTAATAACTCCTTAGTAATCTGTTATGCATTGATAACTCCTTAGTAATCTATTATACATTAAGAACTCCTTAGTAATCTATTATACATTAATAACTCCTTAGTAATCTGTTATACATTAACTCCTTAGTAATCTGTTATGCATAGATAACTCCTTAGTAATCTATTATACATTAATAACTCCTTATTAATCTGTTATGCATTGATAACTCCTTAGTAATCTATTATACATTAATAACTCCTTAGTAATCTATTATACATTAATAACTCGTTAGTAATCTGTTATGCATTAATAACTCCTTAGTAATCTGTTATGCATTGATAACTCCTTAGTAATCCATTATACATTAATAACTCCTTAGTAATTATTATACAGTAATCTGTTAGTAATCATTGTTATAATAACATTCCTTAGTAATCTATTATACATTAATAACTCCTTAGTAATCTATTATACATTAATAATTCCTTAGTAATCTGTTATGCATTGATAACTCCTTAGTAATCTATTATACATTAATAACTCCTTAGTAATCTGTTATGCATTGATAAATCCTTAGTAATCTATTATACATTAAGAACTCCTTAGTAATCTGTTATGCATTGATAACTCCTTAGTAATCTATTATACATTAATAATCTCCTTAGTAATCTGTTATGCATTGATAACTCCTTAGTAATCTATTATACATTAATAACTCCTTAGTAATCTATTATACATAAATAACTCCTTAGTAATCTATTATACATTAATAACTCCTTAGTAATCTGTTATACATTGATAACTCCTTAGTAATCTGTTAAGCATTGATAACTCCTTAGTAATCTATTAAACATTAATAACTCCTTAGTAATCTGTTATGCATTGATAACTCCTTAGTAATCTATTATACATTGATAACTCCTTAGTAATCTGTTATACATTAATAACTCCTTAGTAATCTGTTATGCATTGATAACTCCTTAGTAATCTGTTATACATTAATAACTCCATAGTAATCTGTTATACATTGATAACTCCTTAGTAATCTATTATACATTAATAACTCCTTAGTAATATGTTATACATTGATAACTCCTTAGTAATCTGTTATGCATTAATAACTCCTTAGTAATCTGTTATACATTAATAACTCCTTATTAATCTGTTATGCATTAATAACTCCATAGTAATCTGTTATACATTAATAACTCCTTAGTAATCTATTATACATTAATAACTCCTTAGTAATATGTTACATTGATAACTCCTTAGTAATCTATTATACATTAAGAACTCCTTAGTAATCTATTATACATTAATAACTCCTTAGTAATCTATTATACATTAATAACTCCTTATTAATCTATTATACATAAATAACTCCTTATAACTCCATTAAGTAATCTGTTATGCATTGATAACTCCTTAGTAATCTATTATACATTAATAACTCCTTAGTAATCTGTTATGCATTGATAACTCCTTAGTAATCTGTTATACATTAATAACTCCTTAGTAATCTGTTATGCATTGATAACTCCTTAGTAATCTATTATACATTAATAACTCCTTAGTAATCTATTATACATTAATAACTCCTTAGAAATCTATTATACATTGATAACTCCTTAGTAATCTGTTATACATTAATAACTCCTTAGTAATCTATTATACATTAATAACTCCTTAGTAATCTATTATACATTAATAACTCCTTAGTAATCTGTTATACATTAATAACTCCTTAGTAATCTGTTATGCATTGATAACTCCTTAGTAATCTATTATACATTAATAACTGTTAGTAATCTGTTATGCATTGATAACTCCTTAGTAATCTATTATACATTAATAACTCCTTAGTAATCTGTTATACATTAATAACTCGTTAGTAATCTATTATACATTAATAACTCCTTAGTAATCTGTTATGCATTAATAACTCCTTAGTAATCTGTTATGCATTGATAACATTTAGTAATCTATTATACATTTGTAATCTGTTATACATTAAAACTCGTTAGTAATCTATTATGCATTAATAACTCCTTAGTAATCTGTTATATATTAATAATTCCTTAGTAATCTGTTATACATTAATAACTCCTTAGTAATCTATTATACATTAAAACTCGTTAGTAATCTGTTATGCATTGATAACTCCTTAGTAATCTATTATACATTAATAACTCCTTAGTAATCTATTATACATTAATAACTCGTTAGTAATCTGTTATGCATTAATAATTCCTTAGTAATCTGTTATTGATAATCCTTAGTAATCCATTATACATTAATAACTCCATAAATTTGTAATCTGTTATGCATTAATAACTCCTTAGTAATCTATTATATATTGATAACTCCTTAGAAATCTATTATACATTAATAACTCCTTTGTAATCTGTTATGCATTGATAAATCCTTAGTAATCTATTATACATTAAGAACTCCTTAGTAATCTGTTATGCATTGATAACTCCTTAGTAATCTATTATACATTAATACCTCCTTAGTAATCTGTTATGCATTGATAACTCCTTAGTAATCTATTATACATTAATAACTCCTTAGTAATCTATTATACATAAATAACTCCTTAGTAATCTATTATACATTAATAACTCCTTAGTAATCTGTTATACATTGATAACTCCTTAGTAATCTGTTATACATTAATAACTCCTTAGTAATCTGTTAAACATTAATAACTCCTTAGTAATCTATTATGCATTGATAACTCCTTAGTAATCTATTATACATAAATAACTCCTTAGTAATCTATTATACATTAATAACTCCTTAGTAATCTGTTATACATTGATAACTCCTTAGTAATCTGTTATACATTGATAACTCCTTAGTAATCTATTAAACATTAATAACTCCTTAGTAATCTATTATACATTAATAACTCCTTAGTAATATGTTATACATTGATAACTCCTTAGTAATCTATTATACATTAATAACTCCTTAGTAATCTATTATACATTAATAACTCCTTAGTAATCTGTTATACATTAATATTAATAACTCCATAGTAATCTGTTATACATTAATAACTCCTTAGTAATCTATTATACATTGATAACTCCTTAGTAATCTATTATACATTAATAACTCCTTAGTAATCTATTATACATTAATAACTCCTTAGTAATCTATTATACATTTAACTCCTTAGTAATCTATTATGCATTAATAACTCCTTAGTAATCTATTATACATTAATAACTCCTTATTAATCTGTTATGCATTGATAACTCCTTAGTAATCTATTATACATTAATAACTCCTTAGTAATCTATTATACATTAATAACTCGTTAGTAATCTGTTATGCATTAATAACTCCTTAGTAATCTGTTATGCATTGATAACTCCTTACTAATCTATTATAGATTAATAACTCCTTTGTAATCTGTTATGCATTGATAACTCCTTAGTAATCTATTATACATTAATAACTCCTTAGTAATCTGTTATACATTAATAACTCCTTAGTAATCTATTATACATTAATAACTCCTTAGTAATCTGTTATGCATTGATAACTCCTTAGTAATCTATTATATATTAATAACTCCTTAGAAATCTATTATACATTAAGAACTCCTTAGTAATCAGTTATACATTAAAAACTCGTTAGTAATCTGTTATGCATTGATAACTCCTTAGTAATCTGTGATGCATTGATAACTCCTTCGTAATCTATTATACATTAATAACTCCTTAGTAATCTGTTATGCATTGATAACTCCTTAGTAATCTATTATACATTAATAACTCCTTTGTAATCTGTTATGCATTGATAAATCCTTAGTAATCTATTATACATTAAGAACTCCTTAGTAATCTGTTATGCATTGATAACTCCTTAGTAATCTATTATACATTAATACCTCCGTAGTAATCTATTATACATTAAGAACTCCTTAGTAATCTATTATACATTAATAACTCCTTAGTAATCTGTTATGCATTGATAAGTCCTTAGTAATCTATTATACATTAATAACTCCTTAGTAATCTGTTATACATTAATAACTCCTTAGTAATCTGTTATGCATTGATAACTCCTTAGTAATCTATTATACATTAATAACTCCTTGGTAATCTGTTATGCATTGATAACTCCTTAGTAATCTATTATACATTAATAACTCCTTAGTAATCTGTTATGCATTAATAACTCCTTAGTAATCTATTATACATTAATAACTCCTTAGTAATCTGTTATACATTAATAACTCCTTGGTAATCTGTTATGCATTGATAACTCCTTAGTAATCTATTATACATTAATAACTCCTTGGTAATCTGTTATGCATTGATAACTCCTTAGTAATCTATTATACATTAATAACTCCTTAGTAATCTATTATACATTAATAACTCCTTAGTAATCTGTTATACATTGATAACTCCTAATAACTAAGCGAATTCATCTCAGCTTTCAGATGCCGTTCATCAGGAACTGAAGAAAGGCCATAATGTGTTGGTACTGGGTGGTGATCACTCCCTCGGGATTGGCTCCGTCCATGGAAATATTCTGGGCACAGACGAACCGCCCATCGTTTTATGGATTGATGCTCACAGCGATATCAACACGTCATTAACATCGCCATCTGGAAATGCTCATGGTATGCCCGTTTCGTTTTTCCTGGAAGAGACAAGATCAACCATCCCCAAAACAAGTGAATTTAGTTGGATCTCTGCTTCGTAAGTCTTCACTGTTTTCTTTTTGTTTTGTCTTTCATTTATAAGTACAGTTTCGGCATTTTTTTTATTCTTCGACGTTAAAGTTAACGCACAACCTGTAAACACAGACGTGACCTGTTTTGTGATATCAACGAACATTCGTTGCCACTTTTGTAATGTCAACTAATACTCGTTGTCACTTTTGTAATGCTCGTTGTAGTAGAGACTTTGTAATCGCAGATACAACTAATAGTAACGCCGTTGAACAATACTGGTGTCAGACGCCTTCGAATAACACTCACACTAATAGTACTTGCTCGATAATATTCGCTCGAATAGTAAACACCGAATGGTGATCTGAATAGAGAAATAGTATAGGGAATAGAGTAGGGGATAGCGTAGAGAAAAAGAGCAGAAATAGAGATCAATTAGGCGTCACGCGAATTCCCATATATATATATATATATATATATATATATATATATATATATATATATCCTTTGCTATCACGTGATTTACTTAATCCAAATGGGATCACCTGTGTTTGCTTTCTGGCGATCTATGTTCAAATTACAGTGTCGTCAGCGACACTTTACTCCTATACAACAGTTTGTGAGAAGTAATTTCATGACAAGTTAATGCTTCATACGGACTAATGTCATGTCAACGCCGCCATGGATGTACTCGCTGGCATTCATGTTGACTCAGTCAATGATAATAAATCATTAAGAATGTGTTTTTACAGCTAATAATTAGCAGTTAATTCTCAAATAGTTAACGATGAAAAAGCAACGCAAATGCTTTTTGCTATGGAAAAGCGTTATCACAGAATAACAATATAATTCTTTGGTCACTATAGTAAAGTGCTGCAAATGACTATGGAAAGGCATTGCAAATGAATTTTACTATCACTTTTGTTATTAAATATCTTACATTGTGATAATAGAAGATCTTCCAAGTTTCTGCAAAAGAAACGTTTCAAAAATAATTTATTTCTGAATAAATCCTGTAAGTTTCATTCAAATCCGACAATTATATGATTTTTGCAAGAATTTACAAATCAATGCGCTTTTCACTGCAAAACAACGCTCAATTTTTCCGTACAAATCCCGTTTTATGCCAGAAAAAAAAAACAAGATTTTTAACAAAAATTTCCAAGGTTCTAAAACGGATTAAAAAATAAATTTACCGTATATACTGACGTATCAGGTGATCTTTGAAGACCAAATTTTGAAGCTAATTTGACTACAGTAAATGGATATATAGTTTGGTCAACGGCGTAGTAAGGGCCAGCAGTAAATACGCTAATTTTATATCTCGTGTATGATGCGATCCCCTTAAAATTAGCTTCAAAATTCCGTTTTCAAAAGACGCATGATATGCAAGTATATGCGGTACATGAAAAAAAATCTTAAATCTTTCTTTATAATAATAACTAAATAACACAAAGATATGGATGATAAAATGTTTCTTTTATCATGTTTTGTGCATTTTTCCATCATGTATGCTTTTTTTAGAGAATTTTTGGCGGTACCTACTCGTATGTGAATTTCCCTTTTTTGCATCTGAAAGAAGCGGCCAGATTTTCAGCGTTCAAAACAAACGTTTTTTTTACAAACAATTATAACTATGTTGCAGATGTTAACATTTAACGTCCGCCGCCATTAGCAATGACTCATCAAAAATGGGTTTAATATCAATTAACTCGACTCGGTATCCTGAAGCAGCGAATCAGCGATCAAAACAAAAGCAGATACAGGAACAAATATATAGAAATTAATTTTTTCCTTCCTTCCTTCCTTCCTTCCTTTTTTTTTTTTTTTTAGCAAGAATAATACATATTTGATTTCAAGAAAAAAATGCGCACACTTTTATTAATGTGAAATATTTTGATTGGCGACTCTGATGCATGAGTTGAATCGTCTTTAAAATGTTTTTAACTTTTATGCGTTTCGGTTTAACTATGACGAACACACTTTCAGATTTTTAAGAGATACGTTAAAGATATTTTTAGAGAGTTAAACTTCACTGCACCTATTTTTTTCTTTTTTAACCGTCTCTATTTCCGGGCAAATCTAACAGAATATGTCTGGCGCCAGAGCACTTGAAGTTGTCTGAAAAAATTAACTATTTCTTCTTCTGCCAAAAAAAGGCAGACGACTAATATGTCGGTGGTTAGAGGAATCAGACGATTAGTCCAAGTTCAATTCAGCCGCACTTATCTTTAGGATTATTGTAGTCAAGTCCGTATGGTTGATGAGGATCCAGTTTAGATATGATAGCAGAAACTGTGGACATAGTTATAGGCATATCACACCTACCGTGTGATATGCCTATAACTCTGTTCACGGTTTCTTTCCTTTAACTGGAAAAACTGGCACTGATACTCCAGGTGAGTAATGAGTAGAACTGGCAAAGAATTTAAGGGCAAAGCATTTTACTTTATCAATAGAAGATGATAATGCCTCAAATCGATTTCCCCTTATTTGACACACTATTACAGAGCCACCAGTAGTCACGAGAACCAACCAAACTTGTTAGAGGTTATACGGTGCCTCATTTTATCAACGAGCAAAGACTTGACCCTCTTTAAGGACACACTTTTACAGTTATTAAGAGTGGACACAAAGAAGTGTCCGTTCTGAACAGAAATATCACGTTAGCACAGTCATAAAAAGTGATTCTTGTGGGCTATAGCGGCTGAACAGGAAGTTGTGGAGCAAGGAGAACAATGGTTTCATCAGGATTTTCCGAGACGGCGCAAAAGTATTAATGCCGGCTTTTACCCAAGAAGAAACCCCGGTGGTACACATTTTCATTGGGAATTTCTTTCTCTCTCTCCTTATATATATATATATATATATATATATATATATATATATATTGTGTGTGTTCATTTAGGCAGCAATCCTTTTTTCATGCACATTTCATTGAAAACGACAGACAAGGTGCTTTGATTTAGTTTTTTATACAATTTCTCATGCGATTTAATAATTTTTTTTTCTTTTCACATGATAAATTATATAAAAATTGTCCGACTGTTCTTTTTTTTTTTCGAGCGCTTTCGGCTATACATTTAGCCATTTTCAAGGATGAAAAAATTTAACTGTTAAATAAGAAATAATTTTTTGTATGTATGTATTTATGTAGTGTTTTCATTTTTCAAAACATGGTCAAGATATTGTGTCCATGTTCATAGTTGATTTTATTAATTGTTGTTTTTTTGTTTATCCTTTTTTTTTTGCATGTAGATGATGCTATTATATTTGTGTTGTCTACAAGTATGTTACGAATTGTGTCCGGTAGGTCTCCATGAATATTTAAATGAGAACTAATTGAGCTATGGTCAGAAAGGTATAGAGTGAGACTTCGTGTTAAACATGTTGTAGTGTGGTCTATATAACTAATAAAATACTAGTAAAATTCCTTAATGGACATTTAAATTCGTAAATAATATTTGCCTTATTTAATTTTGTACTAAGAGGTGAATTATTATTTTTAAATATAAGGTTAGAGGTTTTAAATTTTTTGTAATAAATAATTAATCTATTTATTTATTTATTTATTTATTTTTTTGCTATTGTCATATTTGTTTTGTTTTGTTTTGTTTTACGGCATATCAAACACAATGGATTATTTAATGCCGACAAAAATTCCCAAAAATGTATAGCTGGTAATATTTTTAGAAAAATGTATACTTTGGTTTGTTTTGTTTTGTGGCATATTAACCTCAATGGGTTATTTAATGCTGACAATATTTTTATTTCTGAAAATATTTCTTGTATTAAAATCTATTTTTACACTTTCATAGTGTTTTGAGTCAGGGTGTGGGATCAAGTATTTGCCCATAGCTGGGACCCTAACAGGTAGTACCACCCTGGGTCAGGGTGGACCTGGGAACACCAGCATTTAGGAAGTGGTTTCATGCTCCTCAAAACCAACAAAGGCTTTTCTGTTGGACGTAGTTTATCGTCTTACCCAGGACGCGGATGCAGTTTATCGTCATACCCAGGACGCGCTATTGTCATATATATATATATATATATATATATATATATATATATATATATATATATATATATAATGATAATATCAATAATAATTATTATTAATTATTATTATTATTATTATTATTATTATTATTATGATTATTATTATTAGTAGTAGTAGTAGTAGTATTGAGGCAGTGACACTGCAACAAAGTAACATTGGGTTAAAAATATACGAAATACAATGCACCCATCATGGCAACCAGTCTTACATTCATTACAACGTTTTCACTTACCATGAAAACAGTGCATATTAACACCATTAATCAATTAAACTCATAAGCCATGGGTGTCCTGTTAATACTTAATAAATAATGAACTATTCCGTTTTGATCACGTAGAAACACAAGACATATCTGAGACGCTACTTAGTTTCAGTGAAAAAAGAAAGGCAGATATTTTGAACGTCTACTGTTAATGTCTCATAAATAATGGACTATTTCGTTTTGATCGAGTGAAAACACAAACAGCATATCTACTTGGTTTCAGTGAGAAAATGAAAGAAAGAAAGATAGAAGTGTTTACTGACTGTTTCTGTGAAATAGAAAGTGTTATCAGCTTGAAATCTTTTTTTTATTTGTACCCCCGTACTTCTTAAAATAACGACCAACATTCATATTTATGATTGTTATTGCAATTTCTTGAAAAAGTCGATAATCGCTAATATTTAACGATGCAATAGGGGAATTTCTAAAGATATTCAATTGTCGTAAAACTCGCCATGAGTTCATTCAGTCACTCACTGAAAAATTAAGATTCATCAGAAATTTAAAATAGGAAAAACGTTGAAATTTTGACGGGTTAAACTAGTTATTATTAATACGATTATTATTGCTGTTGATGTTGTTATTACGTTTCCAGTCGATACATTCTTCGAGTCTGGAAATAAATTGATGAAATTCAGAACAAGGAAGAAAATCTGGATAAAACTAGAACACTTGTTCGAAATAATAGGGGATAGTTTTGCATCCTGTTGCCGCTGCTACATCACATTGGCAAAAACTATAGAGGTTTATTGTTATGCTTTTAATTCGTCATGTCAGTTATAAGATTTTTGCCGACCCATTCATGTCTGTTTAAAAATACTTTTATAACAACGGTACCGTTTGTGTTGACTGATTTTTTTTGTTAATAAATTTCATCTTTTTTTTTCCATTCTCCCCACCGGCATTTTGCGTGACATTTTTGTGGTCTCTCTGTGTGAGTAGTTATGGGAAAATGATGCTAAACTGCAAATAATTTGAAGATCTCATATAGAAATACATTTTGAGCTATGCTTCATTATATAAGTCAACACTTGGTTTAACCAAAACCTTAATTTGTGAAGTGCCGAATAACTAAAGCGAGAATCCGCTCGCATTTGCACTATTCAATAAACATTCTCATTTGTCATTTTGCAACATCTATCTGTTGTTACCACAGTCCTGTTGTCAAACATGACTCTTCCCCCAACCCGCCTCCGCCGCCGCCGCCGCTTCAAACTGAAATATTACGTTTTATACTGAATTACACTTTAATTTCGTATTAATAAAATGACAGTGTCTAAATCATCCAAGCAGAAGCGTTTTGAAATTTAACATAAGATTTTTATTAAAAAAAAAAATAGGTGGAGACGAAACGTTAATTTCCTTGATAAAATTCTTTTTGAAATTAATATCATATATTAAACATAAACATTGTTTATACACTGCGCATCCATATAAAATATTAAGATTTACTAGCCAAGTGTGTAGTTTATATGTTCATTTCACCCCATGCAAGGCAGTAAAACCAATGAGACACATAAAAAATATGAGTTTTTGGTTCATGATATAAAATATAAAATTATATAATAATATTTTATAATGTAAAATATATTATTTTACAGAATAATATCGCTATATTACTAGAAATTAGATTGTATGAAATATAAAATGTTATTTCATAATATAAAATAAATATATAATATATTATAATAAAGTAATACTACAAATATATTATTTTACATAACTTACGAAATATAAAAATATCAAATAATTTAAAATTATTATTTTATAATATTATTTTATAATAAAAGATTACTGCAAAATGATACCATTTTATGTATAATATTAATATATTATTTTATTCTATTAAATATATAAATGTCATAACAAAATAATATTTGTGTGAAAATATATTGAATAAAATGTAAAATAATACTGATTTTTATATAAATAATATAAAATATAAATATATAATATATTATATAATATATAAAATATAAACTATATAAATTATATAATTATATAAATTATATAATATATTATATAATAAATAATATAAAATATAAAATATAATATTATTTTTTTTATATAAAATATCTAATTTAATATTATTCTAAAACAATATTATTGAAAAATACCATTTCATATAATATAAAATTATAGAATATAAATTAATTATTTTATAATAAAAATATTATTATTGCAAAAATTATATTGTTCTATATTATATAAAACATAATAATATAATTTTAAAATATAAAATATATTATCTTATAAATTAATAATTCAAAATATAATTTCTCTGATATAAAATAGAAATTAATGTAATATAATTTTATCATATTAAATATATCAATGTCATAAAATAATCTTTCTGTAAAAATAACATTATATTAAATGGCGTATAAATGATATAATGCCTTTTAATACAAACAGGATTGCAATAAGTAAATAAGAGAAAGAAAAGAAAGGAACAGGGTAAAAACGAATATAAAACAATCAAGCCATATATGCAAGACAAAGCAACAGTAATATGGCAAAAAAAAAAATCACAAATTGAGAATTGGCGTTGACACAAAAGCAAGTTCGGAAGGCGAACGTAACGTTCTGATTCAAGACATTACAGATCGGGACTGAGTCATATGAAAATGCAAACCGGCCTATTTTATTGACTATGAAAAAAAAAATTCAGCATGCTTTTATGTGTTTCTACCTATAAAAAAGGGAGGAGAATGTATTTTGCAGTCATCCGCAACCAACACTCTAACTTTTTATATTTTGTCTTTGTGTTGTGTCTTTGCAGGTTGAAAGGAAAAGACGTTGTCTTCATTGGACTCCGTGATATTGACAGCGGTGAAGTGTAAGCAAACGTCATAACGAAATATTTCTTATTTTATTGTATTAATTTTGGGCACTACTTAAATTGTAAGAAAAGATATGTATAAGCGTGCCTGCAATAAGATGGTGGGTCAAAAGTTACAGTTTCCGCCATGACACCACGTTTGCCAATTAATTTAAAAAATAATAATGTGATACGTAAGTATTTAATGGGAAATTTGAAAGATTCTTGGTCAGGTTTTTTTTTATTTTCCTAAAATCTTACCAAGTTTTAAGCCCCCCGCATACTTTAACTTCCGAAAAGAGGTAACGATTTGTTTTTAAATTTTGCTTTAGAAATCATTTTTATCACAAGTTATCTACCATCGCCTGAGAAAGTACAATCATAGTATTGAAACATGGAAGCTTTTATGTAGCGATGTAAAATGTTTTTATTATAAGTAATTATAATAAAAATATTATAATAATATTTTACTCTACTTTGTATTGGGCACATTTTTAAAAATAAATGCGACGAACTGTGGATTTTTACTACATCTGTTCTTTCTCTTATATATATATATATATATATATATATATATATATATATATATGTGTGTGTGTGTGTGTGTGTGTGTGTGTGTGTGTATGCGTGTGTGTGTGTGTATTTCGGTAGCAACTATTCTTTTATATATGTTTGGTTAGTCCTGTCTCAATTTTAGCAGTTACGTAAATATAACCAAAACAGCTCTTGAAAACAAATGTAGCAACATTGGAAAGTACTCGGTAATAAAAGAAAATATAAAATAATGAACATTTACTGATAACACAAAGCAACTAATTTGGAAATTTTAAAAAATTAATTAAAAAATTGTTAGAGAGAACTTGATGATATTATTTAACCAAACATGATTCACACACACACATACACGCACACATATCATATATACACACATACACACATATACACACACATATATACACACACATATATATACACACACATATATATATACACATACATATAAATATATACACATATATATATATATATACATACACACATATATATATATACACACACATACATATATATACATACACAGACATACACACATACATTTGTATATACATACACACATACATATATATATATACATACATACACACATACATATATATATACATACACACGTATACATATATATACATACACACACATACATATCTATATATATATATATATACACACATACATATATATATATATATATACATACACACATACATATATATATATATATATACATACACACATACATATATATACTTACACACACATATATATAGATAGACACACATACACATATATACATACTCACACACATATATATATATATATATACACATACACACACATACACATATACACACATATATATACATACGGAGTATATCTTGGATTATAAAAATATATTTATTACATAACTGATATACAAGAGTTAAAAATGTTATCTAATATTTTGCCATTCCCTACAGGCATCTTATATACTCATAAAGTCTGCATTTGAAATGAGAGAGTTGCTTCGTGTATGTTCTCTTCGTGGTGGAGACCATATCAGGGATGTAATGTTCAAATCTTAGATCATATGTTGAATTCTTGTATATTAATTATGTAATAAATACATTTCGTATTCTATGTCATTTTTTATAATCCAAGATACTTGCATTCAAAAACTGTCCCATCATTATGGACCTCCACATATATATATATATATATATATATATTGGCTCCTGAAAAATTAATTTCAGTTGAGCTCTCTGGGGAAGAGGTGTGGGTTTGTAAACAGTGACTATTATGGCTGATATAGTGAGACTCTTCAGCAAAAGCAGATTGAGTCACTGTCGGTTACTGTGTGTGTTTATCTAAAAATAAATACGCTAAAATTCACCTTCATCCCTGCCGACGGCTTAGTGGTAGAATCTCCGATTGACACCAATTCAGTCGGCTTTCGATCCTAGCTAGAGGCAACCGGATGTCTAGCTACATTGAAGAGCTGCGAAGCAGTCTGTCTGTGGATGACTATATATATATATATACTTCAGTTTGTGGACACCCATGGTAATTTTATAGATTGGCACAAAAAGTATTTCTTTTTGTACTTAAAAAACTAAAACTATTATACAATGTTAAAAAAGTGAGACATGATTTTTTTATTAGAAATTTTATTATGACAAAAAGAAAAGAAACATTTTATGAATTGAATATTTCTCTCGTCAAAATAGCCTTCTTTATCCTTGATTACTGCAGCACAAATCTTGGGCATTCATTGCAAAAGTTTCTCGAAGTATAAGTTTGATAATTGATTTCATTCTTTTTCCAATGACTGTTTTTCATTTTTGAATGGAAAGGTTTCACTCTTCTGTCAACTTCATCCCAGGCTAATTCTGGGGTGGTTTCAAATTTTTGAACTGTAGTGTATATTTATATATATATATATATATATATATATATATATATATATATATATATGTGTGTGTGTGTGTGTGTGTGTGTGTGTGTGTATTATCGTTACATAATGTGTGTGTGCAGAGTGAGGCAGACACAGAGAGGTGTAGATAGAGATAATCTCCTCATTCGTTTTGAGACTGACAGTCATAAAAAAGGCAAAACAGAACATTAAACAAGTCGGTAAGCCTTTAATCTCAGTGAAGTAGGTAAAGTCTCTACTTATCTCCGTTTATATTAAAGTCTCATTTTACTTAAACTGATAAAACTCCAACATTACCATGGCTGAGCAGGTTTTTCTGTCCAGGAAAGGTTGATCCATATTCTAATTTGAACATTGATAATTCTAGATGAACTCGATGCAATGAACCTGTTTTCATTTTATATTAAATATGGTAGAGATATAACACGTTTGAATTGAGTGTACGTTTGCGTGTGTTGGATACTTCTAAAATCACGTTATTCACAGTGCTAATTCTTTCAATCCTGACTAATGACAATCCCCTCTTTCTGATTTTCAATACACTACTATAAGTATAAGTGTCTTTATTGGGTTCCGTATAACTCAAAACTTACTCATTGCACGCATGCTCCGTGATGCGTGGCAGCTCAGACCAGACACCAGGTTCATTGACAGGGTGCAGTTTCTTCCAGTCAATGTATATTGAAATTATTCGAGAGGCCTTCTTAATTACTCATAAAATGCTTATATATTAAAACATATTTGAGATGAGAAATGCATTGTAACTGTTTTCGATGAAATATAAAATATAAATCTTACATACAAACAAGGGCAACGAATACGGAACGTAACTCAACAGATATCAAATGTTTTCAATGTGCGTGGTGTGTGTCGCCGAATTTAGTTTCTACTTTACTGCTATCCAAGCCATTGCGGCGTCTTGAAATCCAAGAAGAGAGAGAGAGAGTTTATGAATTTGGTGCCGTTTTCGTACTAACGTGTCACGTGACAAATATAGTGGCACATGACCACATAGCACCACCATTTTTGCCACTTACGTTTTATTTATATATACACGTAAATTTTTTTATTTTCTTTATGCTAATGTTCACCCGATACGAGGCTCAAAGCTACACATATTAGTGGGTTACTGAATGACGCATGCAATCTGAGTGTAATACGGAGTAGAAAGAAGTGAAGATTATGAAAAAAAAAAAAATAGAGAATAGATAGCGATTAATCGCTGAGTTTAAGATTGTAATGTTCAAGGAAGCATCCACATAGGACATTATTCCGCAAAGTAGCATTTCATTTTAGGGAAAAGGTGACTTAGTGGAACTTTCTCTTTAAATTTGGGATACAGATTAAATGCGGGTAATTCGACCCCGGGAAAGTAGTATGGCGGCTCCGAGTTATAAAGGCCTGAAGTGGTAAAACTAAACAGTGGTAATTTGCAATTCGTAAAACGCAATCAAACACTAAATGCACATTTATAGGATCTGCCCTAAAAGGTTTGGTTGAAAGTGCTCTGTGTTTGTCAGTAGTAAATATGTTGTCTTCTTCCATGTCAACGTAAGACTGCATACAGAAAGAATTGCGCATGAATCAAGATCTGGAACTCAGTTGGTCTATTCTACCCACCCTGGTAGCTACAAAATGCTTTGATTAGGGAGGAACTTTCTGTACTAAAAAGTGGTTTCAAAAAACAGTTGAGAACTTATTCAAATCAAAACGGTTCAATTTTCGTAAGTAGAGTGTCTTCGTAAATGTGTGCAGTCACGTCATGGATGTGAGGAATGCGGCATCTATCCTGCTTTGTTACGAAATTTAAATCACGGTAATATACACATGCTTGCAACGTACAAACTTTTCGGGCACAATGTGTAATGGAGAAGCTCAGTTTTTTTTATTGTCGAATAATGCTTAAATTCATAATTTGTGTAAAATCTTTCTTCGTTATATTTATCTTTGAGACTTTTATAGTTTCTCAGGGTGGGCATAAACGGGGAGTGGGGTATGAACGGTCCACTGCTTTATATGATGAGAGAAATCCAAAGCATTAAAGGAAGGTCTTGTTATCTCTGAAAATTGTTTTACGACACTAGAATATAGTGCATTCATTATTGTTGGTGCTATTTTGGGGCTTAATTTCATCGCTGACTGCACAAAAATATTTAATGTTCCTCAACGGGTAAATTGATATATTTTTATGCAGGTCTGTTCAAAATGTTTCTTCACATTTACACCCGTCATATTTTATTTTCCTTCCGGGTGTGTGCGATCATGGCTCACCACAACTTCCTATCCTTTGTAGATCTAAACAATGTCTGTCCACTACTAGTCTCCCTGTGTGCGATCTATTTGCACAAGCTCCTAACTCCCTGTTTCCCTCTTGCCTTCAATATGGACTGTGAGTGCTAAATTCTGCAAAGCCCCTTTTCCTCATTAGGTGTCCAAGAATTTTCATTTATCTTATCTTGATTCTAAGTGTCTTTTTTGGTTCAATATACCTCAAAACTTCCTCAATATTTGTATGCTCCGTGGCAGCCTCAGACCAGACACCAGGTTCTTTAACAGGGTGCAGCTTCTTCCGGATAAAAGCTTGTGATTTTAAAATTACCCTTACCAGATCGTTATCAACGATTGAAAAAACAAAACAATTTCTAGCAGTAAACCAAATTTTATTCTTGGGTTGCAACCTACTGCTATAAGCGAGCGAAGTTGAGATAATGCGTAGGTGAGGGAGGAGGTGCACAGTCAAACGGGTGTCTTGCCTGTGCGTTTTCACAGGTTCGTTTCGTCCCTCTGTGTGTCTTTTCGGAGTACTGGTCAGTTTTATAGCTAGCATGCTTCTTTGTCCTGTCGTCTTCATCGAAAAAAAAAAGAAGCAATTTATTTTCATTCAGCGACTTCTTGTCTGGGCTGCTCGTTGAAGTATGCGGACAACCATTGATCGAAAGTAAATGTTCTGAATTCATTTTTGCTATAGGTCCAGCTGTTTTCAATTTAACAAAACCTCAGCTGACTGATATTGCTATACTCCGTCTATGGTATTCTCAAAATTCTTCAATAGAATTCTTCGGAAAAATTTTCCGCATCACACTTCCATTCCTTTACTAACTTCCCATTTCTTAGGATATTTTTTTTTATTGAATACTTGTTATAAAGTTCGTATAACGTTCATAGTTGCTGGTTAGTAAGTCTGTAAATAAGACACTGGTAACAAAAGGTTGAGTGAAGAAGGTTTTAATCACATGAGAACATGTATAGTGTGACTGAAATGCGCTACGCCGTTGTGACCATTTTTTGCCATGTTCTACGTATAACAGATGGACAGGTCCATTTTTCAATAACAGATGGACGAGCCCATGTTTCAATAATAAATGTAGAGAAGGTTAGACAGTTTTTCGACCCAGCAACACTAGACAACCTTGAGAATTTTTGGTTCATCCTCTGACCAAAAAATATGGGAAAATGAATAACATAGAATTCATTTCTTTGCTACATGCACCGTTTTCTGTGTGTTGTCCGTAAAGAACCTATTTTGGGCGCTCAATTCTCCTCACAGACGAAGAAAAGATTTGAGGCAGCAGAAATTTAGTTCTACAGAAGGATGCTGAGAATACCATCGACTGCACATACGTGTAACAAAATCTTTTTAACGAAAATGGAAATAAAAAGGACTGTTATACTTAGAAACAGAAGGGCACTTCAACGTGGTGTAATGGTTAGCGAGCTTGTCTCGCTAGATCACTTACGACTGAATAGTGATTTCGATTTTCACTAGGGCTCATGCTTTCGACCTTGTGCCACATCTAAGCTAAGCTTTGTAAATTGGTATACTTAAAGGGACAGTTGACATTTCTCAGGCCTATAACGAGAAAGGAGAGCTTGGAAAAGCCACAGGACATATTGGAGGCAAGAGGAAAATCGTGCAAATGGTTGACAGAACAGGGATTGGGAGAGATCGCAAAAAGGCACTGCTAAGAGCTACAAAAGGACAGATAGTTGTGGAGAGCCATATTCGCCCACATCCTGAAGGGAGACAGTACATAGAAGAAAAAGAAGTTCCTATTATTACAGACCCGACATTATTGTTTAGTTGTAAATCATCTAAAATATTTTGCATATTTTTAAGTATTTTTTTCTTTTTCGGTTTATTTTAATACAATATCTATGGCGGCAATTTGGGCTTAAAATATATTTATAGTATTTACATATAATGTGTGTTTATTTCTTGATGGTCTGTATAGAAAGGTATTTTTAGTCGATACCCATATTTGAATAGACGCTGCGTTTATTTTAAACAGTATTTTATTTCGTCTACCGGCTTGAACATTCGAGAAAACTTAGGTGAGCCCTTCGACAGGATGCATGATAAATATTTAAAGGTAAATAGAACTTTGCTTGATTTTGAAGGCCTTCGTAGATGAGCGTTGAAAGCACATCGGATTAAACGGTGGTTTCTCCTGCAAAGCGGGGCACAGGTTCGAATCCTGCTGGAAGGCGAATTATTCTTTAATAAGATTTTTCGAATATACAGTACGGTAGACAAAAAAAAAATACAGTTTAAAATAAATGGAACGTCTACTCAGATATGCTTATCCACTAAAAAACAAGGGTTGAAGTAATAAAAAAAATGTCGGTTCAAAAAATAAAATCCGGTAATTCTTTAAATACGAAGGTGTGCAAATTCAGTCAGGTGTGGAAACTGTCATTATATTGATCAAAGTGAAGAAATGTAAGCCTATTAAAATCTTACAGGTTAAAAGAAAGTGAATTAGAAAGTACGCCCCCACCAAAAAAAGCAAACATGGCATTTAAATGTCTAATATGTCAAACTGGTAAATTAAAAAGGTTATTTATTCAGGCATAAGTGTTTATGTTCAATTCTAGACAAAAAGGTGTATTTGTTTAGACCTGTGATTGATAACCGCTGTGCATGGCACACACTAACGTGCCTCGCTATCCTCTTATGTGCCGTGAAATATTGTCATCAATATATATATATATATATATATATATATATATATATATATATATATATATGCGCGCGCGCGCGTCTGCGTGTGTGTGTAAGCAGTAATGGTATATTTTGTCCCACATTAGCTAAAAAGTCTTTATCAGTTTTATTGCAATTTTCTATTTCTTATTTATGTAAATTAGGCTTTTCAACTCTAAATAACATCAAAAATAGGAATCGAGAAAGACTACACTCAACTGAAGAAGAAATAAGGGTCTGCTTATTGCACATTCGACCAAACATTGAAGAAATCACGACAAAACACCAGGCACAAGTTTTACACTAAATAAGCTGCACAAATACTTGAATAGAAACATTGAAATAAAGCCAGTTCACATTTGTATCTGTATTTTTTGTAAATCTATGGTTTTATTTCATAATATTTAAAAATATATCCTTTAAAAATGTTGCTAAGTGTGCCTTGGTATTTTCATTTATTCCTAGGTGTGCCGTTGCTTAAAAAGGTAGAGAAATAATGCTTTATGCGTTCGGTTGAAAATAGCAAACAAAGTTTATTGTTTTCGCATGAAAATAATCCTCCTTGTTTTCCTTAATTCTTTACTCTTCTTCGTAAACCGGACATTTTTAAGATCAGGGGCTTAACTTCAGAGTTAAGCATTTTGATATTATGATGATGTCGATGTGTATCATATTATACAAGTGACACATTTTATGAAGAGACTGTCTGTAAACTATTAAATCCTGGTGTCCTTAGACAAAGAACATATTTTTTCCGTAATTTTGATTGCCTGCTACATTATTTTTTTTTTCAGGGAAATTCTTCAAAAATATGGCATCAAGTATTTCTCCATGCAAGAGGTTGATGCCTATGGAATAAAAGATGTTCTTCAACTGGCTTTAGATATGGCTGATCCGACGTAAGTATCTGTAAAAGTATTATATACCGTACGAACGCTAAATACGTTGGACACTATTGTAAGGTGTATGTGTGTGTGTGTGTGTGTTGGTGGGGGGTAATATGCTGTATAAGTAGTCCACCACTAGCAGTGGTTTACCTACTTCACGCCGCTGGCGAGTATTATATTTTGTTAATGTTATAAAGATTACCATTTCATTTGCAACCTCCTTTTGGTTATTCTTCATTCAGTAATTCTTTTTAGGTTACAACAAAAAGCAAAAATTATTATCTTCTTTCTTAGGTCCTTTTTCGTTTCCAAGTCACTGATGACTAAACATTGGTGTCATGGGTCCTTACCTATAACTACAGAATGAACTCTTTCTAACACTGTGTATACTACGCCTCTCAAGAGAGAGGGTCGAATCAAGCCGAGCCGATAGTAGTTCACTCTAAACCAGACTGACAGTCATACTAACACCTATCACACCTTGTATTATTATTTCATGTAATATACCTTCATTATTTCTACTCTTGTGTTCGTGTTGCTATTCCTTGGTCCTAACCTGGACCATAACAATTGGCCATTCCACTTTATTCATAAACTCTAAAATTTGATAAAGATAATTCTAACATAGTTTACATTCTCTGAAGACATATGATCCACGCTTCTATGAGTCAATTTTTCTTCCTCCTCTTCTTCTTCTATGTGCCATGTCCCTTCGGGATGTGGGCGATCATGGCTCTCCAAAACTGTCCTGTTTCTTAGTTAAGTTTGTCGTTCTGTAATATTTCCTCCTTAGCTAGATTATTCGCTGTCCTATGAGTGTCAAAATTTTCAAGCTCTCTTTTCTCATAATTCCCCACACCAGGTTTTAGGAGAGATACCAAAAAGACAAAATTTATTAAAAGCTACGAAGGATAGAAAATGGTGGAGAGCCATGATCGTCAACGTTCTGAAGGAACACTGCACATAGAACAAGTTACACGCACTGACCAAGAAGAAGAAGATTAAATAATGGGCTCAGTTCAAAATTCATTGAAGTTTACACTGATTGACAAGCACCTGATGAAGACCGGGGTGTACAACAGTCGAAACGTTGTGATAATAACAACAAAAATGAGTATATTAGTTCGAATGTGATTTTAGGAAGAAAGATCAATTATTTTTTGTCGATTAGCATTCATTAAGCTTCTCGACATTTGTCAGGACGGAAAAATATTAATTTTTCATTATATTAGAATGGAGGTCTCTTCTTCTCATCGTAAAATCGATATAATGTAAAATCGATCTCTGATTATTTTCTTTTAAAGAATTATCTGGACTTAGTTGTTATTTAAAATATCAATGGCTGACGGCCACATCACTTTGAGACACAGGTAGTCGTACGATCACTGAATTTAAGCAATGTTGAGCCTGGTCAAGATCTAGATGGGTGATCGCTTGGGAATACCAGGTGCTGTAAGCTTAGATGTGCGGGTGGCGCAATGGATAACGACTCGGAATTGGAAAACTGAGAGCCGTGTTCCAATTCCAGTCAGGTTCATTATATTCCCTTACGCGTAAATAACTTTGGGAAAGCTAAGATGCCACCTCTTCTCCCCCCAGCTATGGGTTAATTAGTAAAAAATTGTCAGTAAAAATCATTATCTTCAAAGATTCTTACAATCTAAAAATATTTTCTGGCTTTAAATAACCTGCAAAAGGTTGATAAGCCGTAAAAAGCAATTTAATCAATTAAAATGCCAAGTTTGAAACTGTGCATATGTCATTCATATCTGCATATTTTTTTCTGAATTTTTAAACTTTGAAAAAAAGTATTTTCTTGGAAATATTATGGGATAATAATTCACTGTGTAACACGACTTTTGTCTTTGGATAGCAACTATTATTTCCAATTTGCTTACGCCTAGAAAGTGTGAAAAATGGCTAATATTTTCTTCAACCTATGCGTCACCAGGATAATGATATTTCTGAAATTTACATATCTCCATTGAGAAAACTGTCGAATATGAACATTCTCGTTCACGCAAAGTAGTAACAAAATGACATCTGATTCAAAAGTAGCATTTATTTATTCTAGGATTACACAAGGACAGTCTCGTTCACTCAGAGGTAGAAACGAACGAACATCTGATTCAAAAGTAGCATTTATTTATTCTAGGATTACACAAGAACATTCTCGTTCACCCAAAATAGGAATGAAATGACATATAATTAGAAAGTAGCATTTATTTATTCTAGGATTACACAAGAACATTCTCGTTCACCCAAAGTAGTAACAAAATGATATGATTCAAAAGTAGCATTTATTTATTCTAGGATTACACAAGGACAGTCTCGTTCACCCAAAGTAGGAACAAAATGATATGATTCAAAAGTAGCATTTATTTATTCTAGGATTACACAAGGACAGTCTCGTTCACCCAGAAGTAGAAACAAACCGACATCTGATTCAAAAGTAGCATTTATTTATTCTAGGATTAAGAGAGGCCACAAAAAAGAAAGTCCAATATATCCGACAGGAAGCGTTCGCCTTTCTCATCTGAATACACCTGCATGTTCGCTTTGAATTGATCAAGATGATCGTCAAGGATATAGGCACATCCTGCAGCACATTTTGCCGTAATTCTTCTCCCGAGCCTCAACAAGCTTCCCATAATTTTCGGCTTTGTGATTCCGCGGATGAAATGTCACAAGTCTCTCGCTGCTCTATTGCTATTTCAATGGAAAGTCTTCAGACGAACTACATTTCTTATTTATACTAGTTCTAACCTTCACGACTAAGACCCCCTCCCATACAATGCACTTTGTAGCGAACCTACCCCATTCCCTTCGTATCCCATTGGAGAGATGTAAGTTCCACTCGAGCAGCTTCTTCCCACCAACCGATGCTCTGTGGAACCGACTCCCAAAAGGACGCTTCTCCGATCACTACAATCTTAACAGGCCTCGAGTTAACCCTTATCTTTCCCACCTATCCGCATAAACTCTCTACCTTGAGTGGCTCCCGGGCCATGTACAAAGTGAATATTATTGTAAAAAATTATCTTAGAGTGTTCTTAGGCAAATCGTTGATATAAAGCAGAAATAAGGTATCACTGAGATGAGAGCCTTGTGGAATGTCAACATTGATCACATGTGCCTCAGAGGATTGGCCATTAACGATGACCTTCATTCGACAACCTGACCGGAAGGACGTGTCATAGGATGCCAAAAGAGCATTACAAAGAAAAACGTGCAGCAATAGCATGAAAGATAAACAAGTAAATATTTACAAGGATATGATAAATATATATTCAAGCCGAACTTCGTTGGAGATGCTAGTATCGGCGTGCTCTGTTTCGGAGTAGCTTTCTCTCATTTTTCTCGATATCACGGGCAGACATACGACATGAAGATCAGTGTCAGTAAGAGCAAGAGACCAGAAAACTAGACATTAATATCAATGGGACCGGTGTTTACTCATTCCCCCACGAGACCGAGCTAAAGCAAACCAGTGAATTCAAATATCTGGGCAGCATATTTACTGAAAACGGCAAACTAGACTGAGTCCAGATGGAGGAGAATTGAGGAAAAGACAAAAGATGAATGGGATTCAGGAAGAGGGAAGATGACGATTGATGTTGCATTTAAACTTTTAAAGATTGTAGTTATATGGGAGGGGGAAGGTACGAGAAAAGAAACTGTTGGAGTAGAAATGGTGGTTGCATTTAGCTATTTCAACAGCAAAAGGGTGAGGCCTAGATGCCAGTCTAGTAGCACGCTTAAATTCATATATTCGGAGTATTAGGGAAAAAACTTGTCAGATCAGTTGCCATGAAAATATTTGTAGAAAAGACAGAGGGAAGTAATGTCAGTGAGAAAGTGACTGAAGTTGAGATGTCTGGTCAGGATCAATTAGATTGCAGATCCTTCTTTGGATTTTGTCAAGAACCTCAAGATGAGTAGCAGGAGCACCAGACCAGATATGGCAACCGTCACTGACCTTTGATTTATAAGATGCAGATTGGTTGTTAGAGATATGGAAAAAAAGATGTAACAAAGTAGCAAAATACTGGATATGTTTTACTTTCAAGGGCTCAGAATCAAATATAACTGGGGAGCTGATGCTCATCCTATACTCCAAACTTTTTTTTTAATAATCATTTCACCCAAAGCAAAGTGGTAATGCCACTAGCACACAGGGGGTTGCAGGAAGTGAAAGAGAAGACTGAGAACAGGGAGGATTGAGGAAAGAACAAAAGATGAACAGGGTTCAAGAAAACAGATGATGACGAATGATGTTGAATTTAAACTTTTGAAAATTGTAGTTATCAGGTTTGGTTTGGTTTGGTTTGGTTTGTTTTACGGCATATCAACCTCAATGGGTCATTTAATGCCGACAACTTTTTTTTTATTCTGGTAATATTTTTGTTTTGTCAAAAAACAATTTCTAAAACAATTTTTCTAAAAAATATATAGCTGGTAATAATTTTTTTTTCAAAAACGTATTGCTGGTAGTATTATTTTCCCAAAAACGTATTGCTGGAGAAACGTATAGCTGGTAATATTATTTTTTTCAAAAGCGTACAGCTGTCAACATTATTTTTTCAAAAAAGTATTATCAGAGGCCTTGCTGTTGGACGTAGTTTATCGACTTACCCAGGACGCGGATGTAGTTTATCGTCATACCCATGACGCTGTAGTTATCAGGGAAGCAAGGAAACGGAAGTGAGTTCCATAGGTGAGAAATGAGAGAAAAGAAACTGTTGGAGTAGAAATGGCAGTTGCATTTAGCTATTTCAACAGTAAAAGGGTGTAACCTAGATGCTAATCTAGTAGCACGCTTAAATGCATATATTCGGTGCACCAGGGAAAAAAGCTCATCAGAGCAGCTGCCATGAAAATATTTGTAAAAAAGACAAAAAGAAACCAAGCCACGTCGGTGAGAAAATGGCTGAAATCGAGATGCCAGGTCAGGATCGATTATATTATTAAAAAACCTTCTTTGGATTTCATCAAGAATCTCGAGATGTACAACAGAAGTACCGCAATGGTAGCAATATTCGATACATGGGTAGATTGGTAAATGTGTAAGATAGATTCTGACGAGAGAAATTTTCTGGTACAGCACAGCGACTCAACTTTCGATGTAGTCGCCACACTTCAAATCAGTGGAAAAGGAGTGTGTTGCTCTCCTGGAGTCTAACCTCAGCCATGCTGATGGCTGGCAGAAAAGGTCAGCTATGGCGGTTAAATGAAAGCAAAGAATTCCGAACTGAGTCCTTCAGTTAAGCTACGGGGGGTGACTTTTCTCATTCAACTACTCATATCACGGGATATCTTCTCGTTCTTGTTTTTATTTAGTTCAATTATTGCTCGTCCGTTTACCACTGAGGCCTTATAAACACTGCTCGACACAGGAATTAAACTTGCAATAACTATGTCACAAGATTCACAAACCAACGCCCTTTTATCGACTAGGATTTGTGGATAAAAGCATTGGTCTGTGAATTTGGTGACATATTTTATTGACGACATATTTTATTATTGACATAATTTATTGATTTTAAAATGTATTTTTATTGCCGATTTTCTAAATTTAATCTTTACTTAATTTTTTTTTATTTGTTATTTGATTTTTTTAACTTTATTTTTTAGCGGGACTCGACCAATCCATGTGAGTTTCGACATTGACTCAATGGATCCCATGTTCACACCTAGTACAGGTACCCCAGGTAAAATTGGCAATTTATTATCTCTCTATACCTCTGAGATGAGGTATTATGATTACTTACATTATTTACATTATTCGGACTGTTATCCACATCTTCATTGCCATATTCACAACATTTCGGCCGTTGGACACTCCGGCCTTCTTCAGTTGATTGGAATTTCAAACCGAAGCCCTTATTTCGTCCACCGGGGGTAAATTGTTCTAGTTCCACGTGTCATGTCTCTAGAACAATCTACCCCCGGTGGACGAAATAATGGTTTCGGTTCGAAATTCCAATCACCTGAAAAAGGCTGGAGCGTACAACGGCCGAAGCTTTGTGAATATGGCAATGAAGATGTGAATAACAATCCGAATAATGTAAATAATGGCAATTTATTGTATAAATTATCGCTAATTACTATCAAATGTCATTACTACCTAAGCATCATACTTTGTTTACGTAATGTTAAAATTTACTTGTTTTGTCAGTGTTATATGAACGTATTGCTGCGTATTTTTTAACGCTAGGATTAATACAAATATAAAATTTGTCACTTAATTGATTGATGTTATATTCAGCACACCGACTTCAGAGTTTCGTAGACAAACCTTTTTGTAATCTTTCGGTCCACTCGTCAGGAGGTATCATCAATTGTCTGCAGATTTTATCATTTTCGTTATTTTTATATTAAATTAAAAAAATAATTTATGCGCTTTTTATTGGTGTTAGGCTGAATTTTTAATTTTTTCTGTTTGAGTGTGTATGCGTGTACACACGTGTGTATGTATGTGTGTACACGCCTGTACGCGTGTGTATGTGTACATGTGTAAAATAATCGTGGTTATTTATTTTACAATGATGTTCTCCCTGTACAAGACCAAAGAGCCACTCGAGGTAGAGGGTTACAGAGTAAGAGGCACAGCTTATGCGGATATGTGTGGAAGATAACGGTTAATTCTAGACTTGAACAGGATAAGATTGTTAGAAACAAAGAAAAAGTACTGAACTTTTATCTAATATTAGATATGCTAGACAATCTTCGCACAGATGAAGAAGAGACTTGAAGCAAGAGGAATGTGCTTCTACAGAAGGATGCTGAGAATAACACGTCCCAAACATGCGAGTAACGATGGAGCTTTAAAAAAAATGGAAACAAAAAGGACACTTATACTTAACATCAGGAAAGAGACAGTTCACGATTCTAGGGCACATAAAGAAGGCTTGGAAAATATGACACTCACAGGGCAGATTGAAGGCAAGAAGAACAGACAAAAGTGGTGCATATTCTACCTAGCGACCTTGTTATGTAAATGGATAGCAAAACAGGGTTTAGGAGAGATAACAAAAAGATAAAATTTATTAAGAGCTACAAAGGTACAGGAAATTGTGAAGAGCCATCATCGTTAACGCCCTGAAGGATACGGCATATATGAAAGAAGCTACACTCACTGACCCACCAGTACGATATATATATATATATATATATATATATATATATATATATATATATATATATATATATATATATTCACCAAAACGTTTCAAGTGTACAATTCAGTGATGCAGCTGTTCCTCCTATGCCACAGTTTTCTCTCCTAAAGCCTATGTAATCTCATATCAATAATTTTCTTTTTGTGCTTTAAATATGTTTTGCAAAAATGTGTAATTAAAAACGTAAAAACTACTCAATGATATATAAAACGTAAATATAAATGCATAAAGGAAGAAAAAAGCCATTTTCACTAGTAGACCTCCCACCATGATATAAAGATGGCAAAAAATAAAAAATAAAAAAAAAATAAATAAAAAAATGTGCTTACTTACAGCGATAGTAAGGAATTGAATTTTAAATATCAGGTGCATGGACAAAAACGCACTTATCCAGACGTTAAAACAAATATGAACATAAAACAATTTTTTAATCAATTCAACCTAAGCATGGCGATAATGCCACTAAGACGAAAGAGAATGAGAAAACTTTTGAAGGAACCGAAAACCCAATCGTAAACAGGAATCAAGGGATAAACCTCTACTCCTGTTCAAGAGTCTGGAGATGGGTGTGAGGTTAACGATAAGTGAAGCAATCTACTCCTATTGAGAAAAGAAAATCTAATTGAATAGTAAATAAAAGTTCAGAGTTTTGGGCTGAGACGCTAGAAGTATAGAGTTGAAGGAACCGGAAACCCAATCCTAAAGCGGAAACAAGGGAAAAACCTCTATTTCAGAGACTGGAGAGGGCTGTGAACCGGACGATAGGTGAACCTATCTACTCCTATTGAAAAAAGAAAGAATAATTCAATAGTAAATAAAAGTTCAGAGTTTTAGGTGGAAATGTTAGAAGTATAGTGTTGAAGTAGAAGGAACTGGAAACCCAACCCTAAAGAGGAAACAAAGGATAGACCCCTACTCCTGTTCAAAAGGTCGGGAGAATGTGAAGCAGATGATAGGTAAACCTATCTACTCCTATTAATGACGTCTATTTTAATGTAATTAAAAAAACATCCCACACCCCCGTAGAAAATCCTGTCACCCTAATTGGATGGGGGATAGGGAAATAAAAACAAGGGGATGAAATTTGTGTCTGAATTACATTATTTACTATTGTCCTCATCTTTGTTGTCATTACCACAGCATTTCGGCTGTTGTACTCTTCAGCCTCTTCAGATGTTTGTCGATCCGAGTAATAAAGAAAGAAAGAGAAACAACATCGGAATGAGTCAAGCTTGAAAACTCAAGCGGAGAGGCGGAAGAAGGCGACCAAGCGTAACAGCAAGGTATCAGCAGCAGCAACATTAGTGGCAGCAGCAGGCAGGCAGGCAATAAAAAAATTAAGTTTAAGACTCCTGGTTTTCGATTCACGATGAAAGCCTTGATTTTTAATTTGTTGGCATTGTAATTTCGAGTTCAAACTCTGTATCAGGTAGTACAGGCGCAGACTTAGTTTGAAACTGCGCGGAAAGAGAAAACCAGACGAGACATCCCTGGACACGAGAAGCGGCAAAAGAACGACCAAACCCCGTACATTAAATAAAGGGATCAGTTCGAAATTGTCTGAAGGTTACCTGGATCGGCAGCGAATAGAAAAATTAAAAGCTAACTAAAAGACAAAACCTATTGGTTAGGAACAAAAGTTCGAAGCGTTTTTCAATAGGTGGCGATTGAACGTCGTTTTATACTTGAGTGAAAATTCTGAAATTTATGCATAGATTCTGAAAGGTGACATGTCAACGTGTGTCTTTCTGTTCAAATCGTGTGGGAATAAGGGGATTTAGATGGTTTTACGTTAAAAGAGAAAATGTCGGAAAATGAAATGCATTTTCGTCATCTGATTCACTTTTATTTGCGGGGAAAGAAAAAAACCTGGACAAAGAACAAGGAAAAAAAGACCCAAAAGATGGAGAGTATAGTTTGTAAGTGGTTGTATGTATGTTTGTATATATCTCAGTCTTTTCGTATGTATGTATGTATCTATCTATCTATCTATCTATCTATCTCAGTGTATATTCATCTATCTATCTATCTATCTATCTATCTATCTATCTATCTCAGTATTCATATTGTATTCATATCTATCTATCCCATATCTATCTATCTATCTATCTATCTATCTCTCAGTGTATTCATATCTATCTATCTATCTATCTATCTATCTCAGTGTATTCATATCTATCTATCTATCTATCTCAGTGTATTCATATCTATCTATCTATGCTAATATCTAAATCTATTCATATCTATCTATCTATGCTAATATCTAAACCTATTCATATCTATCTATCTATGCTAATATCTAAATCTATTCATTATCTATCTATCTATGCTAATATCTAAATCTATTCATTATCTATCTATCTATCTATCTATCTATCTATTTCTTCCTTTCTTTCTTCCTTCCGTGAATGAGAAATCGGAAATCCGAGTTCGAATTCCAATCGAGTTCGTTGCATTCACTTATGAACAAATAACCTTGGGAATGGTCGGACTTCATCTCTTCTCCCCCAAGGGTTGAATAGCAGGACATAGTGAGCCTTGGTTGGCAACCAGTCTACCACAGAAAGAAACGGCAACCTACTGCATTAAAATCTTCTGTCTAGTCGGTGTCGAAAGAGACATGCTCGCACAAGTGTGTATCATGTTAATGAACTGACTGACTGAATAAAGGATTCAAAAAAGAAAGAAAATATAGTGCGTCCACAGCTGAAATGAAAGAAAAGACATTAAATTGAGCTGTTAGGAAATGTTTGTTAGTCCTTAAGCACCGGCTCGAATCCCCACAGTCTTTTATTACCAGGTAATATATTCGTCCTGGAAATTGAGGCGTTGAAAAACTAAAATGGCAGGTTCGGAGGTAAAAATGTTTCTTTTTCTTTTTTCTGTCCTTTTTCTTTCTTTCTTTCTTTCTATTTGTCTTTCTTTTTCTTTTTGTTTTCCCTTTCTTTCCTTTTTCTTTCTTCTTTCTTTCTATGCCCCTTCATATCTATCTATGGATCTATCTCAGTCTATGCATATCTATCTATTTAAATTCTTCTTGTATACTCCGAGAGCAAGTCTACCCCGGAATCGATCAATTCAAGTATATTTTAAAGGAAAAACAAAACAATATATATATATATATATATATATATATATATATATATATATATATATATATATATTGATATTTTAAGAAAGAAAAGCCTAGAAAACAAATATGATAAAGTCTTAAGCATATAAGTAAAATATGAAAATATGAAAAAAGAAGGTTAAAAGCATTTCTTGTAACAAGATGGCGGTCCTGATCCATAATATATTCAACTGTTTTGTAGTAATTTTCTTTCTTCTTGATTTTTCAGTTCCAGGAGGTTTAACCTTAAGAGAATGCCTGTACATGGCTGAAAAACTCCATGATACTGGTAAGACAACTTTTCTTTACATAGCACTTTTTAAATTACTCACTGTGGCCAAGCGGTGTAATCGCACTTGATACATTAAATAAATTCCCAATAATTTAAAATTACAATTTATTTACTTTTTTTATCTGAGATTTTATATGTTGGGCAATTGAATGATAAAATTGAAAAATATAACGCGTTTCGACAATTAGAAGGACTTCATCAGACTAAAATAATGTTTGTTTTTTTTTTATTGATGGAATTATATGTCTAGGGAGAGGAAACAAAAATATAAACGTCGGGGAATTGTTGAAGATGTGGGAACGCTAAATTTAACATTTTTTACTTTAATTTCTTTTTCTGTTTTAGTTTAATTTAATTTTTTTTTTGTCAGATGTGAAATGTTTTAAATCTTTCAAATTAACAAAAAAATGTTAAACTAAAAAAAAATTAGATTTAGCGTTCCCCACAATCTCAGGATGTGGGGATGGTGTAATGGATAGCGGCTCGGAATGAGAACTCAGTGAGCCGAGTTCGAATTCCAGTTGTATCCATCACGATCACTAATGCTGTTGGGGAAATGTGTAAAACCAACCGGTAGTAGGTTTTGTATCTGGGTAAAATTCATTGTTATTCTTATTTATCTATATAATACTAAAGCCTGTGATTCGTGTGGACTTGCGAAGTGAATCCATGCGGCGTTTCATTATAATGATTTGAGTTTCTTTCCACCTTTCTGTGAGTGCTCGCTTATTTATATTTCACCTTTCTTAAAACAAACAATATTTAAAAAAATATTTTTTGACATATATAAAAATTATTTTTAAGTGAATATGATTTTAAAATATTTTTTGGCATATTTAAAAAATATTTTTAAGTTAATCTGATGTAAAAAAAATAATAAAAGTAGGTACCTGCACGAGATCGCTAAAAAATCAGCACACCGTGATGACAACATGCTCTAAACGTAATGAAAACATAGTTTTATCGTTAAAATCGTTATGTTATTATTACGAGGAAGGATCAATGTATTTTTTGATGATTCAATTACATTTTTTACTCCCTTTTAGAACATTTGAAATTTTGATTAAAATAAACTTGTTTTTTCTTGCGTCAGCGGTCGTACTAACTTTTAGCATTGTGAATTTTCGTCTCTTTTTTCCGTTGACAGACACATTAATTTGGAAATTCTTGCAAAAATCAAATAATTGTCGGATTTTAATGAAACTTTCAGGATTTATTCAGAAACGAATGAAATTATTTTTTTAATGTTTTTATTAGAAAATCTTGGTAAAAATATTACTTAATTTTATGAAAGCTAGAAAAATTTATCGAGATAATTTTTAGTGACTATATTAGTTAAAAGTAGAATTTTTAAAGAATTTAAATCATCGAATTTTTTGCAAAATCGGACCTGGTCTTACTGAAAATCTGTTCTGAATGGAAAAAAAAAACGCAATAAAACTAAGACATTATTTATTTAGAGAAGCTTTTAATTACTTTTATGAATAATATATATTAAAGACAGTATTGTCTGAAGAAAAAGAAATTTTTCGATGAAAAATTAATTTTTACAATATTTGTTTTAATTTTTTTTTTTACAATTTTTTATAATTTGAAATTGTATAATTTATAAAGTTTTTGAATCTATTAAATTTCAATTTCAATAAGATAGTTCTTAGGGAATATTGTTATTAAGTAAAACTATATTTTCTAATTATATATTTTTAAGCATATTGCAATCTGAAGACCCCGACTAAAAGAATTTCGATTTGTTTTTATATATGTATATAAATGCAGAATTTCTGAACTATGGATGTACAAACCGATAAATCTATTCTTAAAAGATCACTTGTTTTAAGAGTTGTCCCCGCTTACTTTGGAAACACAGCCCTAATAAAATTTGTCGTCTGCTACACCATAATTAACTATGAACACATTCGGCGGTCAATCCGCCGTCAATAAATCGATTAACACGTCAGAAGATGAAGACCGCGTTGTTAGGAAATTCTTGTATACAATATTTTATTCTATAAGTAATATTTGTTTCTAATCAGATTGACTTAACTTTAAATTTGCCAATTTATCAAATAACGTTTCAGAAATATATATTTTATTTTTTCCAGATTTTTAAAACGGAAAATTAAATTTTGTTTACAAATGTCTAAAAATAGTTTAAAATGGCTGACGTTATCGATTTTACTGAAAAAATGCAAGTCTATCACAATCAATATAATTTCTGTCTGAAATACATCAAAATATTTTGCTTCCCGAGTATAGAAAATTTAATCATTTAGCTTTCTGATAAAACTAAATTGAAAGCTTCAGGAAATTTTTTTCATTTTTAAAAATTCATTTTAAACCTTACGTATATCCAATTCGTGGAGGTACCTACTTTTAAGTGAATAAGATTTAAAAATACGAGTCTTATGCAGTAAGTATTTTTATTTCAACTTTCTTCAAACAGAATTTTTTTTTTAATTTGAAAATTAACTTCAATCTTATATATAAAGTACATTGTATGTGTGGGTGTTTGTTCGTGTGTGTGTTCAAGCAACTCCTCTGATCCCACCTGTCCGATTTCAATGATTCATAGCTCATTCAAAACTCTAGATAAGTTAGGCACAGGGAACAATTTTCGTTGAGCTCAGATTCAGGGTTACCAAGTTATACGAGGTCAAAAATAGATATTAATATATTATAGTATTCATTATCGTTGCTTTCACTGTTCAAGGAGGGTAACGCTTATTTTTACTTTTGTATTCAAAATTGCAGCTAGCTAAAATTGGTGGACTCTTGGTTTGGCCATCATCACCATAGCTAGAGAGGAGTAGATGCGATTGCCATCAATAAACTACAGAAGAACTCAAAATTAATCGCTGCATTTAAGTATTGAATTAATGTTTAAGCTTACCTTTTAAAAGTTCAACGTAAATTCTTCTACTGTAACTTAATTTAAAGACAATTTGATGTACGTAGATCCTTATTTTTCGTACAAACAATTATTTTTATTTCATGGGTGACGAACAGGGGACAATTTATAAGATAAACTTAATATAGTGTAAAGATGCGAAAATAGAAATTGGAATTAGTTATACATTTAACATTTGAAGAGTCAAAGAAGCATATTTGCTAATTAAGTACAACTTATATTATGGAATCTATATGAATAAATGCGAAATCAGACCTCAATTCTGCTACGAATCCTGTGATTAAGAAGCCCTAGCTCTACTTTAGAGTAATTTACACACTAGATATTTACTCTGTCTCCCCACTAAGACGAGTTGTAACACAAGGTATTTTTTAAGGAGGAGACCCGAGCGCTTACACCCGGGCTAGGAAAAAAAATTACCTGCTGCCAACGTAACTGTTGGTTACGCTGGCCTCGATGTTAGAACCGACCCCTCTCTCCAATGAGAGCGCGCGGCCTCAGGCAGCTGTTCCCCAGAACCGGACACCTCTCAGTATAATTTTTCTCCATTGCGAATCTGTAGTTTGACGGAGTCGCCCCAGAGTGCACTCTGCCCAAAGACAGAGACGCAACTGAGAGATGATAAATAGATGTGTTATAAAGTCCTCGAGAGGAATTTACACGGTATTTACTTGATCCCCCACTGAATCAGGTTGTGGCACAAGGTCAGTTTTTAACGTCGGGACCCGAGTGTTTTTACTCGGGCCGCTGGTCTAAGCTGGTCTTAGCCGGTTATAGCTTGTTCAAACTGGTCAGAGCTGGTCTAAGCTAGTCATAGCTGGTCTTGGCTTGTCATAGCTGGTTCAAGCTAGGTAGTATCCGAATGTGTATACTCCTCAAGAGAGGATATACACGCTAAAAGCTCAATATCTGTATTATATATTATTTACTTCTAGGCAATATCACTCTTCAGGTTTAACTAATTTGCACATTGATTTTTAAAAAGTTTATTTTATTAATTAACTAACTGTCCTTCATTACTGTTCTTTTATTCGAGGATTGTTTAGGAATATTGTCTTATATAGTACAGAAAAGTGTTTGAAATTTGAATTTTAGTTGGCCTTCAACAAGTTGGCATCTATTTGTAAAACTTCCATTAACTATAACAAGCCAATTTAGAAATGAAATATTCATTTAAAATTTTTGTTTCAAAGATTTCAAGTAGTGAATATATCTTACTTTTTGCGAAGCGATAGCGAGCGGGCGAAGCTCTACTAGTGTTTTATAACCTGAACCGTCAGTGACCCATCGGTTAATGAGTAGTCTAGTATATATATATATATATATATATATATATATATATATATATATATATATATAAAATTGTGCATGTAGGCAGTTATCCTTATTTTATTACATTAAAGACGACTGATAAAGTACTAAGATTAAACTTTTACTCCATTGTTCTTGCCTTCGTACAAATGTTTCTTTTCTGAACATAATGTGCGCAAAAACTGCCAAAAAGTTCTATATCCCCAAGCATTTTCGGCTATTATATTAGCCATAATCAAGTATTATTTACATTATTCGGACTGTTGTCCTCATCTTTGTCGCCATATTTATTACAAAGTTTCGGCCGTTGTACGCTCCGGCCTTCTTCAGGTGGTTGGAATGTTGAACTGAACCTTTTATTTCGCTTATTGGGGTAGACTGTTCTAGTTCCATGTGCCATGTTTAATGGCGTTAGTTAGATCCAGTGACAGGACAAAAAGAGTGTGAGTTCAATACCCGGTTAAGGCAGTGGAAAACTTTCAAAGGGTAATTAACAGGAGATAACTGATAACTGACATCCATTATAGGTACCTCCACGAGATCAAAAAAAAAAAAGAGCATAGCATGATATTAAACTTGACGAAAAACAAAATTTTATCGTCTAAATGTTTGTTATTATTAAGAGGAAAGGTCAAAGTATTTTTGGGGGTATTTTTTTCCATTTTTTTTAATCGTTCCTAGCACGTCCGAAATTTTCGTTAAAAATCTAGTTTTTTTGAGTCAGCAAAATTGACCATTTTTTTTCCATTTAAAAAAAAACTGAAATCTGACTTTGAAATTTTTTTAAATATCAAATCATTTTTCAAACTTATTTTTAAGAAAATCAGAAATTATAATGTTTACATTTTGAACCAAATTTAACTTAGTTTTGTGCCAAAAAAAGATATAATTTGAAAAATAAAACAAAGCAGGTCATAAACTTTCGCGTCACTTGACATGTGATGAATGATATATTTACGAATTCCATGAGGCTAATTTGTTCGGACGGAAGGAGAAAAGTGAAATAATTTACATTTACGTGAACAAATTATGGGTTATTTTTAACAAAAAACTTTCAGCGGTCTAATTTTTTTTTTGTACTTAGCTTTTTTTTTTTACTTTTACGTTTATGATGCTTTATGGAAATATATTGTAAAGAAATTAAAAATAAAACTGTTAAGAGTGACATTAAATTTCATATTTCCCCATAGGTACCTTTCATGAAATTTTCAAATTTGTACATAAAAATACTATAATTTTATGTACATTTATTACATTCTACCGTTATTTATATTTGCATTCATTTTATTATTAATTTTGATATTTCATTTATGGAAAATGGATGCGATTAATATAAAATAAGATCATATAAATTTCATAAGATGATACTGATACTTGTAGGACCCTTCTCAGTTGAAATTGAAAAATCAAATTAACTTCTGTTTCGCAAAAGTAAAGGCCTTAACTCGGAGAACAATGCTTAACTCAAATAACGCAACTTAATTATATTCTGTTTGGTCTCCGTATTTTTATAATAACAGCTCGATTATAAGCACAAAATTACATTTCTTAATTACTGGGTATCTTCTGATTAGTCAAAATGATACAATTTACAACGCGCCAAAAAAAGATCTATCTCTGACACTTTGGAAAGCCGATGCGGCTTTTAACTAATTTTATCTTTTAAATGTAAAATCTATTATAATTAATGAAATAACAAATAATTGTATTAAAAATTCATTTTTCATCGAAAATTTTTTTGCTTTCAGAAAATATTGTCCATATTCATAAAAACAACTCAAATAAAAGCATTTGAAATTAAATAATATCTTTGTTTTATTGAGTTTTTGTATGTTACAATTCCTTTTGATTTTCAGGTACTGCGTATCCAATTAAAAAAAAAAAAACATGATTTGCATTCCTCAAAGCCCTGTGCTTTTAATTATTGTAATCACTAAAACCGATGCGACTGAATTTTCTAGCGTTTTCATAAAATTAGTTATGGAGGGGTAATAAATATTTAAAAAAATATTTCTACCATGACTTTATAAAAAAAAACATATTTATAATAATTTCGATAATCTGTGAATAGTTCCTTAAAGTTTCATTAATATCCGATAATTATTTCTATTTTTTTGCACGATTTTTCAAATTAAAATACCAAAAAACGTACAAAATTTGTCTATGTTATTTACTAGTTCCGCTGATTATAAATAGAAAAAAGGTTTTTTTAATCAAAAATTTAGAATGTTCTAAAAGAAGGAATTTTTTTTAAAAATAATTAAAAAAAACTTGGTCTTTCCTGGTTTAATAATAACATAAACATTTAGACAATAAAATTTTTGTTTTCGGCAAGGTTGGCGTCTTTTTCATCAAGCTATGCTTTTTTTTAATAGCGATTTCATGGAGGTACCTAATTAAACATGGCGTGAAACCAGAAACAGTCTACCCCAATAAGCGAAATAAAGGGTTCAGTTCGACATTCCAACAACCTGAAGAAGGTTTTTATACAACGGCTGAAAACGTTGTAATAAAATTTGACAAAGATGAGACAATAGTCCGAATAATGTAAATAATTTTAATAACCTCATCTCTGAAATATAGACAGATAATCAAGGATGTATTTCCTTTTATTTTTAACTGAAATATATAATTTTTTATACATGTATATCTATAGTGAGAGGAACGTCTTTTTTATTTTCCAAACACTGACCATGTTCATTGGTGATATATTTGTATATACAAGTATATCTGGTGGCTGGCTGCTCGTCTGTTTACTTGGGCGGATTGTCAAACCCTACTGCACATTAGTATTTCTTTTTGGGTTTATACAGCAACTGTACTGATCAGATCTTTTCTGAGAGGGAGTCCATTATCTCGCCTGATTAATAGTTTCAACAAGGCCAGTACGCCCGGTCACGCTGATTTGCAAACATCCGAAATAGTTCTACACAACGTCACGTCAACCCTCACTTTCAGTCACTTTTCAGAAATGTGCGGGATGCTGGGATCGCCTTCCTAGAACAGATAACATCAAGAAGTCACTTTCCTGATTAATTCATGATGACATTCAAATCGCGGTGCATTGTTGGAAAGCCAATAATACAGGGTGCCCAGTAAAAAAATGAGATATATTCAGAAAGACTTGGGGCAACCGTTGAAAACTGATGACGACTGATGTGACTGGAAAATAAAGAAAGAATTTGTTCACATTTCGTCAATCCCCAAGTCAGATGTTCTTCTTTGATAACTTGACGCTCAAAATCAGGGAGTTTTTTGACCATGCGAGATGGGTAGAACGAAAGACGAAAGTTGTCTGCAAATAACCATTAAATGGCGAGTCACAAGACTGAGCAGCAATTAATCAATCATAAAAGAACCAATTAGAGTTGACTATTTAATGACTAATAAATTTATTCAAGGTTATTAAAGGTCAACTACTCCTGAAAGATAAAACAGTGATAGTAAATTTGCCTTTTTTTACTGGGCAAACTTTATAATGTTTATGTATTATGTCAATTCATACTTTTAAAAATGTATGTTTTTATTTAGTCATCGTATCCGTTCCCTTTAGTTACAAACTTACCGACAGAAATAAAGACACACGCGGAGAAAGACACACATGTAAATATACAGAAGGCGCTTATCTCTCTTTGGTGGAGATAAGTCACGTGCGTCACATGACGACCGCTTCGTGACGCCACTCCACACAGTAATCAAAGCGGCATTCATTTTTCAGTTGGTAGACAGCAACCAAACGGTAAGATTGCTTTCTTTTAGCCCGGGCCCTGCTGAGGCTAAATCTTCGCCACCTCCCAACACCCAAGGCGCTTACGAGCACATGTCTATTTCTCTTTGGAACATAGATAAATCCAGACCGTTTGAACCTGGTGTCCTAAAAATGACTTCTCCAGGTCAGGAGTATCTCCATATTTCCTTTTTGTTTCTTCTTGCACTCTCCTTTGCCGTGTAGATATGAGATGTATTGTTCTCCGCGTGGGACATGTGTATATATGTATATATCTAGTTTTTTGTATGCCTTAGTGTTATAAAAGTCCCTCTGAGAACAAAGCATGTTTGTCATTTGTTTTCCTTTCAGCCATTCCGTTCTGTCCGTGAAATATCGGTGTTATAATATCATGGATATCATAATGCCCATAACGACAGAATCATTTTTATTTTTATTTTTAAGTGCTCCTGTTACACACTGTTTATTTTGATATATGATTATTTCTGTATTTCTTTTCTTTTTTTTTTTTTTTTTTTTGTTAGGTCGTCTCTCAGTGGTGGACATTGTCGAGTTGAATGTCTCCCTTGGAAATTCAGAAGATAAAGATAAAACAGTGGCGAACACCATCAGAGTGATTGAACATTTCTATGGGAACAAAAGAGCTGGAGTCGTGATGGCTGAATAATTTTCGACAAAAACTGTAAATGGACCTAAGTTTTAAAAAAAAATAATATATAAACGAAACTAAACGATTAAGTAGCAAGCTTTCTTGTAGTGATTTTCGAAAGCGTAGATTAGATGTGGCAGAAATCGGCTTAATTTAAATATGGGTCACCCAGTGAGAATCGAACTCGCTACTCAACAGTTTGTTAACTATTATACCACATCGAGGTGCCCTGAATTATCTAAGCGTAACGTAGCAGTGGCACAAAGCCTTAACTGCGGAGAACTAAGTGAGGATCGAACTCACTACTCAGTCGTAATTGATCTAGTAAAAAATACTTTGAATTTAATAAAGATATATTTTTATAATTTTGGACAAAATCATTTTTATAGAATTAGAATATATACCTCGTTTACAAGAAATACATGCTACTGATTAATACGTATATATATATATATATATATATATATATATATATATATATATATATATATATATATATATGGTGCAGTTCAATTTATATTACAATGAATCATTCATAAAAAAAGTAAATTTGTAAAGTTAATGATATAAAATGGCGAAATCCCTTCGCTAACAAAATTTTTAAAGATGCATTAACCTACCAATCATTCGATGAAGGTTATAATCCTTGTTTTTTTTTATTATAAGCTGTATAAGGTCTTTCTTAAATACGCAAGTACTTTCAACTGTACATTCAGTATATAAAATAAAAAATTACTTTTTGTATCAATAATTCATTGTAATATATATATATATATATATATATATATATACACATACATACATACATTTTTGTGTGTGTGTGTTTTTTCTTTTTTCGAACGGATTTTGCACGGTTACATTTATTTTTTATTTGTTTCAGTTTCAACAATTTTATATAAGTCGGAAGATAGTAATGTGAAAATGACTGTCACCCTGAACTTTTAATTTCTACGTCCACACTGCATGCATATGTTAAAGACGACTGGCAATGCGTTGTGACTAAGCTATTTATTTTATTTTTCTTGCATTCATACAAGTGTTTTTTGGGAGGGTGGGAGGACACAAAGTCTGTAAAAAAAGACCAAAAGTTCTGCATATCCGGGCGCTTTCGGCTATTCTTTTAGCCATTATCACGAACGATTTTTGTTTTTTATTTTCAACCGACCATAGCTCAATTATACACACAGAAACCTACCTAAATCCATCTACAAAATACTAGTAGAAAATAAAAGTGTAATAGCTTCATCCATATGAAGAAAAAAAAGATTAAAAATAATGGAAGCCCTAATAATAATAAAAAAACATCCAAGACTTAACGTTAATTTTAAACACGACCACAATGTACTGACCGTGTTTGACAAATAAAACATTCCTATAATTTCACTTACATAAATAAAAATCCACAAATTCAGTTAAAAATAAGAATTTAAAAAAATTGTCCTTGATAATGGCTAAACAAATAGCCGAAAGCCCTCGGATATGCAGAACATTTGGTTGATTTTTATACACTTTGTGTCCAGAAAAGAAAACACTTGTACAAACGCTTAATCCCAGTACCATGTCAGTTGTCTTTAACGAATCTTGTATAAAAAAGGGATTGAGCACAAATAGACTATATATATATATATATATATATATATATATATATATATATATATATATATATACATACATGTGTTTGTGTGTTAGTGTGGGTATTTTTTTTACCTTGTATTTGTTTTTAATTTCTCTTTCTCTGACAACTTAGGTCCGATAATTTTTATTTGTTTTTCTATTTTTTGTTGTTTTCAAAAGTAGTGTTGTTTAATATATATATATATATATATATATATATATATATATATATATATATATATATGAATTATGAATAAAAATATATTTTGAAAAAAATATTATCTTACTTTTCTGCTGTATCTTTTAAAATTAATTTTAAATGTTAATTTCATTTTGATAACAATTTGTTATATTTTTTTTTTTGCAACGCATATTTTCAAATATCTCGGAATTTATTTGTGAAAAAAATACAGTATTTATCAGCGCATATCACGCATAGAGTTTTCTGGTATTTCATATTTATCGGTAAAAGTGCTCAATATCAGAGCGTATGTGAATATAAAAGTAAACATTGGGATCAACACCAACCAGCGACAGTGTGCTTCATGCTTGTCCTGAAGATTGCGTTTAGGCATGAGACAGACTATCACCGATATATATATATATATATATATATATATATATATATATATATATGTGTGTGTGTGTGTGTGTGTGTGTGTGTGTAAATCCGTTTGGTACAATACATTTTGACATGGAAAGCTCTTGTGCTTGTGTTGATATTGCCTGTGTTTAGAAAGTGCAGCTTAAAACTAATCTGAAAAAGCATCTTATACATCGTAAATAAACGCTTGTGTCAGGAAGATTTACGAACGGAAACCGTCTCTATCTTTAAATCTCTACCAAAAATTATAAAAATTACTTTGTTAAAAATTTCAGATAATAAAAATGAATTTTCAAAAGAACATTCTATTCTACATCTGAGTTCATTTTCTTATGGTTAAATGCCTCCATAAGTAAAAATAATTGGTTATTTATTGCTCTCTCTCTCTCTCTCTATACGTTTCGTTAAAAATGAGTGACAAGCTACGCGGATAAGTTTTTTTTTTTTATTCAATTTTTCTTGTGTTCTTAGAATTTTTCTTTTTTTTTTTTCTGGGCAGAAATTTTTATAAATTAATTTCTACATAATGTATGTCCAAAAAAGGAAGAAAATGAAAAATAGAAAAATTTCTACAGAAATTTGTTGAGAAAAAAAAAAATAGAAGAACTCAAGAAAAATTAAATAAAGAAACGCAGAGCCTTGTCAATTGTTTTTAAGGAAAAGAGGGATGGCTGCCCAAATACACAATTTTATATATATGTGTGTATATATATATATATATGTACATATATGTATATATATATATATATATATATATATATATATATATATATATATATATATATATATATATATATATGTATATATATATATATATATATATATATATATATATATATATATGTATATATATATATGTATATATATATATATATATATATATATATATATATATATATATATATATATATATATATATATATATATATATATATATGTATATATATATATGTATATATATATATATATATATATATATATATATATATATATATATATATATATATATATATATATATATGTATATATATATATATATATATATATATATATATATATATATATATATATATGTATGTACATATATATATGCATGCATATATGTATATATATGTATATATATATATATATATATGTACACATATATATATATATATATATATGCATATATATATATATATATATATATATGTATATATATATATATGCATATATATATATATGTATATATATATATATATATATATATGTATATATATATGTATGTATATATATATGTATATATATATGTATATAATAAAGAAATATAGTCTTAAGATCTGCTATATTTATGGGATAAAGTGCTCAATATCAGACATAGAGCGTGTGCAAATATAAAAGTGAACATAGAAGTCAACACTTAGAGCCTCTAAGTGTTGAATTCTACGCTCACTTATATATATATATATATATATATATATATATATATTGTAATAAAAGTGAAAGGACAGTAAGATATATAATACGGCGTTCTTATTGATATTTTTTATTTTTTCAAAAAACCTCGTAACTGTCCTCTACAAAATAAATGTCGCACGGAATCATTAGTATACCAATGCAATATCTCATCTATTGAGAATCCCGAAAACATAAAAATCTATATAGGTTACAGAAGCCATGATTTCAAAAAAACGGTACAATCAACATCAAAGTTCATTTACGATAAATAAATACAGAAATCAAACATCCCTTTCAAAATATTTCTTGCACTTAAAAGAATACAATAAAACACCTACAGTAAAAAGGAAATTAATAAGAAAAGCTAGAATATCTAGGTCATTAAATGACTCATATCCTTTGTGCATACATGAGTAACTATATTTTACTAAGTTTATAAAAAATAAAAAAAAGTTTGTTTACATTGCGCAGACCAGGTCGAAAATTTCAGTGATTGCGCAGGTCAGTGTTGCCAACATTGTGTGAAAATTTTATGTGAATTGATTGGACGGTTTTTGAAATATTAGAAAAAAAATCTCGATAATAATTTGGCACGCAGTGTATATATGTATATATATGTGTATATATGTACATATATATGTATATATCTATATATATGTATATATATCTATATATATGTATATATGTATATATATAAAATCAAAATCGTTGCTGGAAGCGACGGACAATTAATCAAAACCTAAAACTCTTACCCTGATACAGTATCGAATAAAAACTGCAATACTGAAAAAAATAATACTTTAAGTTTTGAAATCATATTTATTTTTGGCATATGAATGTTTTGAAACTGTTTCTAAATCTTTGTCTTTTAATCATTCCGCCTCACCTGCTATCCTCTTCCGCTGTACCTATGAGGCACGCTACACCATTTGGGAACGATTTAGACCAGTGATAAAAGTTATAACTATTTATATTGGGACTCATGCATGCAATTGCAAGTAATCCATAATAATATTTTAAATTTTGAAACCATATTTATTTTTGGGATATGAATTTTTTGAAACTGATCTAAATCTTTGTCTTTTAATCATTCCGCCTCACCTGCCATCCTCTTCCGCTGTACCTATGAGGCGCATCGCATCATTTGGGTACCACTGGCTTAGATGATCAGTCCTCCATCTCTTCATATTTGTGCTTACCCAATGTGCAGAGCATAGTCTAGGATAAGCTTCTTTGTTGTTCCCTTAATAGGGATTGTACCACATAGAAATAAAACCTTGTGTCACATCTTCGTGAGGAGCTTTGTAAATGCCAATAAATGCTATACAATTTCCAACAGAATAACCGT